CCAGTGAGAGATAATTGAATCTCTGAGGTGGTTTCCCACATACTGTTCTTGTGGTAGGGAATAAGTATCCTGAGAGCTGATGGTTTTATAAGGGGAAACCCCTTTTGCTTGGCTCTCTTTCTCTCTTTGCTGGCTGCTATGTAAGACATCCCTTTGTTCTCTTTAGCTCTTCTGTCGTATTTGTGAGGCCTCCCCAGGTAAGCGAAACTGTGAGTCCATTAAACCTGTTTTTCTTTATAAGTTACCCAGTCTCGGGTATGTCTTTATCAGCTGCATGAAAGCAGACTAATACAATGAGTAACTCCCAAACACAGAGACTTGAAATTACAAGTATTATTTCTCATACTTCTGGGGCTTTCTGAGCATTTCTTTTGCTCTGGGCTGGTATGGCTGCAGCTGGATAGTATAGTCAGACCTCACTCAAATTTCTAATGGTTGGTTGGTTATTGGGGGGCGGGGGCATGAGGATAATTTGACCTTATGTTTCTCATCATCCCTTAGTCTAGTTCAGACTTGTTTGAACCCATGGGAGTTGGGTTCGAAATGCAACAAGAAATCAGTTTCCATTCGGTGAGTGTTTTTCAAACCTCTATATATGTCACATTTACTAATGACCCAAAGAAAATCAAATGTACATGCCCGGATTCAAGGAGTGGAGAAACTGACTCCACCTTTGAAGGAAGAGCTGCAAAGTCATGTTGCAAAGAGTATACACACACAGGAATGGGAAGAATTTGTGGATTTTTTTCAACCTACCATAACCACTAGCTTCAGTCATGCAGGTTTTTTTCAGGCACCAGGTGAAATGAATGGGGATCTGATATGGACAAATAATCCTGCATCCTCTAACTTTTTGATAATGATACAATCTCTGCAATTCCTCCCATGACACATTATTGAGTTTCAAGAGTTTCTGCTTGGCCCCTTATACCATAAGGACTCTTGGTTCACAAGTTAGGAAGCCACTATAATGAGTTCTACCAGAAGATAAGCATCTCTATCCCAATATATGTTAAAGGGTAGAGGAAAACAACCATAGGGTGAGTTCAGGGACTCACTGAACTCACTATGAGATCAGACTTGGGCCAAACATGATAAGCAATCAAACTCAAAATTCTATCACAAGGATCTAGAGGGTCTCTCCTGGAAACAGTCCTTAGCTTACATTCCCTACAGGGAGGACCCAGAGAAGTTTCTGTGCTATTATTTTATCAGCAGGTACAATTCCAGGGAAGCAGGAGTGAGAGAAAAGTGTAGTGTGATAGGGAATTGGGGAACGTTTGCATGAAGGTCTTATTGAGCTGGCCACTGCTTGCTATCACGTGTGACTGACTGCTTAGTTTTGAATTTTACGACCAACTACCTGAGGAGAAGAAGGGAGGTGAATTTATCCATTGGCTCCTATCACTTATTCATGAAAGGTTTGTCCCAGAGAGTACTAACTCCACTGTACTTCCAGGTCATGTGTGGATAATTTAATAGGTTCTGTAACGTCTCATGCATCAGCATCAACAGGAAAGCCCTAGGGCTTGAGACAAGCAGTGCCCATTGCAGGCATGAGGTCAGGCTCTGTTGTTGCTTGTGCCTATGTGGAGTTGGTCTGAGTTCATGCAGAAATGTTGCTGCAGCAGTGAATCAAGAGAAACAAGTTTCCAGAGGCCCCAGGCACAGGTGAGGCTGAGAGGATGTGAAGTGACACATACGATGTGTCTGAACTCTTCCCTAATTCAACTCTTGCATGCAATTACCTGAGCCTGGTGATGATTAGAATTTAAATTCTAAACTACTGATGCTGTATCATTAATGACTAATTGTCTATTATTAAACGTTTCTATCTCTTCTTGTCAGTTCTTTAAGTTACAGCTTTCTAGGAAATTGACCATTTCCTCTGTTTTCAAATTTAGTCTAATTCAAAAAATATTTTCTTTTCTTGTGTAGTCTTTTTCTTTCTTAATATTATTTGTGCCAGTTCTCTTTTTTATTCATCTTGTAAAATAATCTCTTTTTAATTATCTCAGAAGTGGATCACTTCAAATCAGCAGTTGTGGGCATTGAGCCTCTGTTCGATCTGTGTTTTCTATTTCTTTAACTTGTGCTTATTGTTGACTTCAAACAACTTTCTTTGTATTTATTCTGTTTTCTAACTTCAAGCTGGACACAGGCTTTAATCTTCATTCTTTTCAGTTTTCCCTTCTTCTTCTTCTTTTTTTTTTGAGATGGAGTTGTGCTCTTGTTGTCCAGGCTGGAGTGCAATGGCGTGGTCTCAGCTCACTGCAACCTCCACCCCCAGAGTGCAAGCAATTCTCCTGCCTCAGCCTCCTGAGTAGCTGGGATTAGAGGTGCCTGCTACTATGCCCAGCTTGTTTTTGTATTTTTAGTAGAGAAGGGGTTTCATTATGTTGGCCAAGGCTGGTCTCAAACTTCTGAACTCAGGTGATCTGCCCACCTTGGCCTCCGCAAGTGCTGGGATTACAGGTGTGAGCCACCTTTTCCCTTCTGTTGAACTTATTTTGGTCATATCCTGTATCCAATAAATTTAATACCTAAATTAAAAAATCATAATTTATTTTGAAATAGTTCAACTCACAAGAAGTTGCAAAAATAGCATAGAGAGTTCACATATATCTTCACCCAGTTTCCCCAATGACAATAGCTTACACAATCCTAGTACATTGTCTGAACCAGGAAACTGCTGTTGGTATAATAGGTAGCAGTCTGGCTTGATAGGTTTTCTTTCTTTTATTAACGTGTAATCCTAAATTTCTTGGTGTTCTAGTCCTGTTATTTGTTGCTTCTGCTGCTGTAATTTAGGGTGGCTTATGTGAAATTTGGGGTTATTTGTAAATATTCATCAAGGTGTGAATGGAAGTACATCCTTCTGGATAGTTTCTTTGATGGTTGCTCCACGCTTGTGTTCCTTGGCTTGTGGCAGCATAACTCCAGCCTTCAGGTGACATTCTCCCTGTCTGCACATTTCCTCTTTTTAAAATTATTTTAACTTTTTATTATTTTTTTGAGACGGAGTCTTGCTCTGTCACCCAGGCTGGAGTGGTGCAATCTCGGTTCACTGCAACCTCTGCCTCCCGGGTTCAAGCAATTCTCCTGCCTCAGCCTCCCAAGTAGCTGGAATTAAAGGCGCCTGCCACCACGCCCAGTTAATTTTTGTATTTTTAGTAGAGACGGGGTTTCACCATATTGGCCAGGCTGGTCTCAAACTCCTGACCTCAAGTGATCTGCCTGCCTCGGCCTCCGAAAGTGCTGGATTACATGCATGAGCCACCACACCTGGCCACATTTCTCATTTAAAAAATAAAACCTCTAATCTTTTCTTTGTTCTTCAGACATACCAAACAGCCCCTGGTCTGCATGTATACCCAATGCAATTCTTTCTACTTAACTAAATTGTTTTAATTTCAGACATTAGTCTATGTTTTATTTAACTTTGACATACTAAAAATATATATATATTCAGTAAGTCACAAAGCACATCCTACGTCAGTTGTAGCCTCATAACCATTCAAAATGTCACAAACATACACCTAGTCCTGTCACATGCACTCCTCTCTAAAATACATAGTATCTGTCACATACCACAGACATATATCCCTGCCCTGATAATCATATAGACACCTACATGTACTCAATGTCTATAATACACAGACCATCCACTCCAGACCTGTCACTCATATGCATGCAATATGTTATGTACAGTCACAAAGACACACTCTGTTATGTGCACAGGTACCCACACACAACTGTGTCAGCATAGTCCCACAGACACATATACTGACTAGTCAGATGCTCAAGACACACACACATACAGAATTCTCTTTCTTACAGACACACACACACATAAACAGAAAGCCAGCCTGACTTGTCTAACCTAAAGATGCCCTCACACATAGTATCTGTCAGACTGCATGTACCATGATTCACATGTACATAAGAACTGTCACATAGTCATGCAAATACATTTTGGCCCTGTCACTTCCACAGACCCACACACAATATGCACATTCACAAGCCTTCTACATAATGTCACAGAGACCCATCTGGCCCTGTAACATGCACAGGTGCTAACTTTTCACATACTTTTCATACACTGTCAAACTCATACAAGCTACCAGCCAACAAACATGCACAATGTCTGTCACACACAGTCACAGAGACATATCCTGACTTGTCACATTCACAGGTCACACACACACACACACCAAATAATCACAGAGATACACCTGAGACCTGTCACATATCACAGGACACATTCATGCCATCATAAAAACATACTGCAGCTGTCATACTACATACCAACCCACACGCTTGTGTCACAGTCACAGAGTTATCCCAGTCCTGTCATACACCGAGCACTTTCTTCTCTTTCGCACATACACAGTCAGTCTGTCACACAGTCACAGAGAAACACACCTGCTTTGTCATGAGCACACAGGCGGTCATGAAGACATACCAGGGCCATTTCATGTGGACAGATGCACACACACACACACACACACACACACCTTTCCATGTGTCACAAGACATCCCGGCCCGGTCATGCACATTCTCATGCAGACACAACATTACCATCCGAAAGGCAGGGCACATCCTTGGTTCTATTACACACACAATATTGACACACATCCCCTACACTATGTGTAGGGTCTGTCATTACCATGGACGGTGCATCACACGCGGCCAGGGAGACGCCCGACCCTGTTTTGCCCACCCCTTTCCCTATTCACACCCAGCTACACTGTCAACTTCTTCAACTGCTCGCATTCGCCTCACTGCCTCTCCCACCCTCACTCGCACTGCCGACTGGGTCGCAAAGTCCTTGTCGCCTCGCCCTGCTTCGATGTCTCCTTCCGAAACTACCTGCTCACACGCGGAGTACAAGAACCACTAGGATACGCAAAGGGCCTCAGAAACCCACGGTCATTCGGCCCGGTGGCCTGTGGGAATTGTAGTCCAGGACCGAAAACGCAGAAGACGCCGGAAACCCAAGTGCCTTGGGACCTCGCGGCCCGGGGATTTCCGGAAGTTGTAGTCGGTGCTCTCAGTGCGCAGGCGCGGGCACACAGCAGGGCGCGTATTGAAGGGTGAGAGGAGAGGTGAGAGGCAATAATTTGATTACGGAAACAGATGATATATTTCTTTTTCAGTTAGCAAATTTCAAAAACAAAAAATGTAGATGGTACACAATATTGTTGAGAATGTGGGGAAATGAGAACTTTCATATATAGTTGGTGGAAATGACTATAGCTTTTTTACAGTTTTGTGTAGTAGCATTCACAAAGTGTGAAAGCAAACCCTAAGCAACCAGCATTTTTACATACAAGAATCTAGCCTACGAAAATGCTGGCATGAAAGACAAAGCTGTGGGTACAGTAATGCTTACCAAAGCCGTGTTTGTAGTACTGAAGAATTGAAATCAACCTCAATGTTGGTTTTTTGAGACACTATTAGTCCGTGCTAGCCAGTATGGTAGCTATTTGTGACTATTTAAATTTAAATTTATTAAAATTAAATAAAATTTAAAATTCAGTTTCTTACATTAGCCACGTTTCAAAGGCTCATTAGCTTTTGTGGCTACTGTATTGGACAAGATGGATATAAACATTTCTAACATCATAGAAAGTTATATTAGACAGTACTGGTGTAGGTAATAATTCAACATTAAAAAGAATGAACTAAATCTATAACTGACATGAAGTGGAAGAATGTGTTCAAGTGGAAAGGGCAAATGGCAGAATTATATGGATTGTATGATCCCATTTCTGTATGAAGTAGCTGTGTCTTTATACATACATCCAGTGTACAGAAAAATCTAGAAGAATACCTGAAAATATTAACTTTGGTCATTTCTGTAGATAGGGAATGAGTAGGGGGACACTTTTATTTCTGACATTATCATCAGTTGTTTGAATATTTAAAAACTGCAACAATTAGCTGAATGTTGCTAAATCCAAATAAATATTTTTATTATTTTGAAAGGTTTTTGGCTACCTTCTACTATTGTAGTGACTTGCTCTTTGTTGAAATACTGAACTACTTTAATTTAAAAGACCTCCCTCATTTCTGTTTTATCTCCTCACTGAAAAGCATTAGAACACCATACCACATTGAATGCACCTGATCTGGTCTGAAAAGCATTAGAACATGCAATTACTTGAGTGACTAAAAAGTAAAACAATGAGGAACTGATCATGGCATCAGAAAAAGTGAAATCAGTTGGATCAATGTAAAATCCCAACGTAAGTATTTTTAAAAACATTTTTTACTTTGTAATTTCAAAAGCAATGCATGTTTATTACATAAAATAAATACAGATCAAGTGCAATAACAGGGCCAGGCGCAGTGGTTCAAGCCTGTAATCCCAGCACTTTGGGAGGCCTAGGCGGGTGGATCACGAGGTCAAGAGATCAAGACCATCCTGGTCAACATGGTGAAACCCCATCTCTACTAAAAATACAAAAAATTAGCTGGGCATGGTGGCATGTGCCTGTAATCCCAGCTACTCAGGAGGCTGAGGCAGGAGAATTGCCTGAACCCAGGAGGCGGAGGTTGTAGTGAGCCAAGATCACGCCATTGCACTCCAGCCTGGGTAACAAGAGCAAAACAACGTCTTAAAAAAAAAAAAAAAAAAAAAAAGAGTGCAATAACAGAAAAGATCCCTATAGCCCATGGAGTGGCTGAAAATGAATGATTGCTAACGCGTATGGGTGTCTTTTGGGGGCAGTGAAAATGCTCTAAAATTGATTGTGATGATGGCTGCATAGCTCCTTGAATAAACTAGAAACTACTGAATTTGGCCTGGTGTGGTGGCTCACACTGTAATTTTAGCACTTTGGGAGGGTGAGGTAGGCGGATCACCTGAGGTTAGGAGTTCAAGGCCAGCCTGGCCAACATGGTGAAACCCTATCTCTACTAAAAATTACAAAAATTAGCCAGGCATGGTGTCGGGCACCTGTAATCCCAGCTACTCGGGAGGCTGAGACAGGAAAGTCACTTGAACCCAGGAGGCAGAGGTTGCAGTGAGCCGAGATTGCACCATTGCACTCTAGCCTGGGCAATAAGAGCAAAACTCTGTCTCAAAGGAAAAAAAAGAAAGAAATTACTGAATTGTACATTTAAAATCAGTGAATTGTAGAGTATATGAATTATATCTCAGTAATGGTATTACATAAAAACAATCATCTGTGTTGTTGACCACCTGGAAAAATAAAGTAACTTCCGTCTCTCATACATTAAAAAAAATAAAGTGGGGCTGGGCGCGGTGGCTCAAGCCTGTAATCCCAGCACTTTGGGAGGCCGAGGCGGGTGGATCACGAGGTCAAGAGATCGAGACCATCCTGGTCAATATGGTGAAACCCCGTCTCTACTAAAAATACAAAAATTAGCTGGGCATGGTGGCGCAGGCCTGTAATCCCAGCTACTCGGGAGGCTGAGGCAGGAGAATTGCCTGAACCCAGGAGGCGGAGGTAGCGGTGAGCCGAGATCACGCCATTGCACTCCAGCCTGGGTAACAAGAGAGAAACTCCATCTCAAAAAATAAATAAGTAAATAAATAAAGTTTACAACATGTATGTATAACTTAAAAGTAGACTACAAGAGTCCTTATCAGGCCGGGCGTGGTGGCTCAAGCCTGTAATCCCGGCACTTTGGGAGGCCTAGGTGGGTAGATCACGAGGTCAAGAGATCGAGACCATCCTGGTCAACATGGTGAAACCCCGTCTCTACTAAAAATATAAAAAATTAGCTGGGCATGGTGGCGTGTGCCTGTAATCTCAGCTACTCAGGAGGCTGAGGCAGGAGAATTGCCTGAACCCCGGAGGCACAGGTTGCGACGAGCCGAGATCACACCATTGCACTCCAGCCTGGGTAACAAGAGTGAAACTCTGTCTCAAAAAAAAAAGTACTTATCAAATTACAAATTGATGTGATTATAATTTTGGTGTGTAGGTATGACAGCCAAAACACAAATTATGAAGTAAATAGTTAACAAATTATAGAAAATATAAAGTAGGTTTCAGTAAACTTCCCTCCCTCAAATTTAAGTGGCAAATAAACTAAGGGAAAATATTTTAGATACAACCAATAGATAACCAATAAATTTAAAACAAATCAACATATAGATAAATACAAAAATGTATAGAAATAGATAAAATATATAGATTCTTAAAAGGAAAAGTTGAAAATGACCAATAAATATTTGAACGTGTGTCTAAGCTTATGAGAAATAAAAGATATGGGAATATTATACAAATAAAATGTTATCATTGGTCTAAGGACTAGGAAAGAGTCAAAAGAATTGCAAATTTTAAGAAGATATTCATTCACAATATTTTTGGTGGGAGGAATCCACTTTCAACATTTCTGAGAGTCCTTTTACGTAAATTTAAGAGAAGCATCTCTTTTAATTCAGGAATCCATTTCTAGAAATGTAGTCCATGAAAATTACTGAAGCAGTGAAAAATATATAAAACATTCTTTATAGCAGTGGTACCCAACCTTTTTGGCACCAGAAACCAGTTTGGTGGAAGACAGTTTTTCCACAGACGGGAAGTTGGGGATGGTTTCGGGTTGATAGAAGCACATTAGATTCATTGTGCACTTTATTTCTATTATTATTATATTGTAATATATAATGAAATAATTGTACAACTTGCCACAATGTAGAATAAGTGTGAGCCCTGAGCTCATTTTCCTGCAGCTAGACTGTCCCATTTGGGGGTGATGGGAAACAGTGAGAGATAAGCAGATGTTAGAGTCTCATAAAGAATGTGCAACCTACATCCATCACAGTGCAGTTCACAAGGGCTTGTGCTCCTATGAGAATCTAATGCCAGTGTTGATCTGACAGGAGGTGGTGCTCAGGCAGTAATGCAAGCAGTGGGGAGTGGCTGTAAATACAGATGAAGTTTTGCTCACTTTCCCACCGTTCACTTCTTGCTGTGTGACCCAGTTCCTAACAGGTCATAGGCCACTACCCATCTGTGGCCCAGCGACTGGGAACCCTGGTCTACAGGAAATTAGTTAAAACAGAAAAAAAACCTAAAGAAAAAACAAAAATATACAGGTAAATTAAATTTGATACTCCATAAAATAAGTAACAAGGGAGCCACTAATATGATAATGTACGATTACCTTGCCCAAAATAGAAGAATATTCATAAGCTATTAAGAAATGAAAAATACAGGTTAGATGAGAATATGCAAGGGGTGCTTATAATTTTTGGAAAAAAGATACACAAGGATAAACATTGAAAATTTAAGTATTTTAAAAGTTATATTCTAAAACTAATCAGTAGTAAATTTTAGCAAATAAACATTTTTCAACTCAGTTTTCTCACCTTTCAGTGGGATAATTACTACCATCATCTGGATTTTTTTTTTTTTTTTTTTTTTTTTAGAGATAGGGTTTCACCGTGTTGGCCAAGCTGGTCTTGAACTCCTGACCCTGTGATCCACTCATCTCAGCCTCCCAAAGTGCTGGGATTACAGGCGTGAGCCACCGCCCCCCACCTTGGATTTTTTTTAACAGAATAGTGACTATGCTCCAAGACACTGAAACACAACCATCTCAGTTCAAAGCCTTACCTTACCATTTTAATAGCTGGGAGAACATAGGCAAGCATTTAGAAATTTGTGTGTGTTTCATTTATTCTCCTTGGCATGATCCAGTAGAACACTAATACCATATACAGTTTTTTCCTGGCGGGGTGAGGGGGAGCTTTTTGTTTTTGCTTGAATTAATTAATTCCTATGAATCATGTGTCAATGGATCTGGCATACAGGAAGCTCGTTATCTTCTTCAGGCTCCTGGACCAAAATTGTGATTCTGTCATGAATGTAGAAGATAGCTGTTGGGTAGGATACCACCAGTGATTGTCATGCTGGGCAAAATATCCTTCACAGTTGAGGGAAAAAGAAATACATCTAGATTTGCAGGGGGTCAGTAATTATGCCAGTCATCTGAGCTGTCTCAGAGAACTCTTAGAGGAGGAAATCAAGCCAAATGATATTTGTGAATCAGAACTAAGCTTTCACAGAAGAGGAAATGGACACCAGAAAGTGATGCTTCCACCCCTTTGATCCTCTATCCTTCCCTCTCAAAGTCGTCAAGCACTTTCCCCTCTCCAGGCCTTTGCTCTCAGAATTCTCTCTTCCCTTAAGCCTTTGCCCTCAGTATTCATTCTCTTCTTTCTCTTTCTTTTCTTTCTCTCTTTCTTTCTTTGACAGTTTTCCTCTTATTGTCCAGGCTGGAGTGCAATGGCAAGACTTCAGCTCACGGCAACCTCTGCCTCCCGGGTTCAAGCAATTCTCCTGCCTCAGCCTCTCAAGTAGCTGGGATTACAGGCATGCGCCACTACCCTCAGCTAATTTTGTGTTTTTAGTAAAGATGAGGTTTCTCCATGTTGGTCAGGCTGGTCTCAAACTCCCGACCTCAGGTAATCAGCCCTCCTCAGCATCCCAACGTTCTGGGATTACAGGCGTGAATGTCATTTGCTTTTTATGGTGAATGAGCTAAGGGTAAGAATGGCTTTTGCATTTTAAAAAGAGTTTAAAAAAGATTAATAGCATTTTGTGACTGCAGAATAATGAGATTCAATAATCTGATGTCACACCTCAAGGAACTAGAGAAACAAGAACAAACCAAACTGAAACCCAGCAAAAGAAGGAAATAACCAAGATCAGAGAAGAACTAAATGGAATTGCAACAAAAAATACAAAAGATAAATGAAACAAAACTGGTTCTTTGAAAAGATAAATAAAATTGATACATCATTAGCAAGATTACCAAGTAAAGAAGAAAGAAAAATCCAAAGAAGCTCAATTAGAAATGAAATGGGAGATATTACAACTGACACCACAGAAAAACAAAAGCAAGGCTACTCTACCAACAATAACAAAAGAAATTCCAGGACCAGACAGATTCACAGCTGAATTCTACCAGACAGTCAAAGAAGAATTGGTACCAATCCTATTGATACTATTTCACAAGATAGAGAAAGAGGGACTCCTCCCTAAATCATCAGTATCACCCTAATATCAAAACCAGGAAAGAACATAACCAAAAATGAAAACTATAGACCAACATCCTGATGAACATAGATGCAAAAATCCTTAACACAATACTAGCTAACTGAATCCAACATATCAAAAAATAACGCACCGTGATCAAATGGGTTTTATAGCAGGAATGCAGGGATGGTTTAACATAGGCAAGTCAATAAATGTGATGCACCACATAAACAGAATTAAAAGCAAAAATCACATGATCCGCTCAATAGACACAGAAAAAGCATTCAACAGAATCCAGCATCCCTTTATAATTAAAATTCTCAGCAAAATCAAAATACAAGGGACATACCTCAATATAATAAAAGCCATCTATGACAAACCCACAGCCAACATAATATTGAATGGGGAAAAGTTGAAAGCATTCTGTCTGAGAACTGGAACAAGACAAGGATGCCCACTCCCACCAGTTCTCTTCAACATAGTATTGAGTGTCCTAGCCAGAGCAATCAGACAAGAGAAAGAAATAAAGGGCATCCAAATCAGTAAAGAGGAAGTCAAATCTGTTGCTGTTTGTGTTAATATGATTGTTTACCTAGAAAACAATCCTCCAGAAAGCTCCTAAAACTGATGAAAGAATTCAGCAAAGTTTCCGGATACAAAATTAATGTACACAAATCAGTAGCTCTATATACCAACAGCAACCAAGCTGAGAACCAAATCAAGAATTCAACACCTTTTATAACATCTGCAAATATAAAATGAAATAAAATACTTAGGAATATACCTAAGCAAGGAGGTGAAAGACCTCTACAAGGAAATGTCAATACATTGCTGAAAGAAATCATAGATGACACAAACAAATGGAAACAAATTCCATGCTCATGGATGGGTAGAATCAATATTGTAAAAATGACCATACTACCAAAAGCAACCTACACATTCAATGCAATTTCCATCAAAATACTGCCATCATTCTTCACTGAACTAGAAAAGAAAAAAACCCTAAAATTCATATGGAACCAAAAAAGAGCCCACATAGCCAAAGCAAGACTAAGCAATGGAGGCATGACATTACCTGATTTCAAACTATAAGGCCATAATCACCAAAACAGCATGGTACTGGTATAAAAATAGGCACATAGACCAATGGAACAGAATAGAGAACTCAGAAATAAACCTAAATACAGCCAACTGATCTTTGACAAAGCAAACAAAAACAAAGTGGGGAAAGTACACCCTATTTAACAAATGGTGCTGGGATAACTGGCTAGCCACATGTAGAAGAATGAAACTGGATCCTCATCTCCCACGTCATACAAAAATCAACTGAAGATGGATCAAGTACTAAAATCTAAGATCTGAAATTGTAAAACTTCTAGAGGAAAGCATTGGAAAACCCAATGACCAAGAACCTACAAGTAAATGCAATAAAAACAAAGATAAATAGCTGGGACTTAATTAAACTAAAGTGCTTTTGCACAGCAAAAGGAACAGTCAACGGAGTAAACAGACAACCCACAGGGTGGGAGAAAATTTTCGCAATCTACATCTGACAAAAGATTGACATGCCAAGTCTACAAAGAACTCAAACAAATTAGCAAGGAAAAGCAAACAATCCCATCAAAAAGTGGGCTAAAGACATGAATAGTAAGTTCACAAAAGAAGATATACAAATGGCTAACAAGCATATGAAACCATGCTTAACATCGCTAATAATCAGGGAAACACAAATCAAAACCACAATGTGATACCATCTTACTCCTGCAAGAATGGCCATAATAAAAAAATATAAAAAATGTTGCCATGGATGCAGTGAACAGGGAACACTTTTACACTGCTGGTGGGAATGTAAACTAGTACAACCATTATGGAAAACAGTGTGGCAATTCCTTAAAGAACTAAAAGTAGAACTACTATTTGATCTAGCAATCCCACTACTGGGTATCTAGAGGAAAAGAAGTCATTATACGAAAAAGATACTTGCACATGCATATTTACAGAAGCAGAATTCACAACTGCAAAAATTTGGAACAACTCAAATGCCCATCAATCAATGAGTGGATAAAGACACTGTAGTATATGTATGCAGTAGAATACTACTTAGTCATAAAAAGGAATTAGTTAATGGCATTTGCCTGGATGACACTGAAGACTATAATTCTTTTCTTTTCTTTTTGAGATGGAGTTTCACTCGTCACCCAGGCTGTAGAGCAATGGAGTGGTCTTGGCTCACTGCAACCTCCACCTCCTGGGTTCAGGTGATTCTCCTGCCTCAGCCTCCCGAATGGCTGAGATTATAGGCACCCACCACCATGCCCAGCTGATTTTTGTATTTTTAGTAGAAATGGGGTTTCATCATGTTGGCCAGGCTGATCTTCAATTCTTGACCTCAGGTGATTCACCTGCCTCATCCTCCCAAAGTGCTAGGGTTACAGGTGTGAGCCACTGTGCCCAGCCTGGAGACTATTATTCTAAGTGAAGCAACTCAGAAATGTAAAACTAAGCATTGTACGTTCTCACTCATAAGTGGGAGCTAAGCTGTGAGGATGCAAAGGCATAAGAATGACATAATGAACTTTGGGGACTCAGGGTAAATGGCGGGAAGGGGGTAAGGAATAAAAGACTAAAAATTGGGTGCCATACAGCTCAGGTGATGGGTGCACCAAAATCTCACAAATCACCACTAAAGAAGTTATTCAGGTAACCAAACACCACCCATTCCCCAGTAACCCATGGAAATAAAAAATTTATAAAAACCAAAGACCCCCAACATATTCAAAGTAGTACTTGTAGGAGTCATTGAGCAAGTAATATGAGAAGAGAGGAGGCTGCTCCCACCAGTGGTTTGGAGGTGGAGCAGATGCTGGTGATAATGAAGTTCCAGATGAAAAATGGGAGTGGATGCCGAGAGCTGTAGTACCCTGCAGATGAGGACTCAGCCCCATGATACTGGATGATGGGAATCAACCAGGGTAGCGACCTCAGCTGAGGCAGGAAAAAAGCTGGGATCCAAGTGCCATAGTCTTTTCTTGATAAGCAAGAGAGACCAGGAGGTGAGAGATGGCAGAGGGTGAGAGAGGTGATATCAGTGACCAGAAAGAGCCCTTAAAAGGCAACACTTCCTTTTTTCTGTTAGTTTTAATATAAATTTTTGCTTTAGTATTTTTAGACAATTCTCTTTTTTATTTATTTATTTATTTTTAAAGACGGGGTTTCACCATGTTGGTCAGGCTGGTCTTGAAACCCCTGACCTCAGGTGATCCGCCCGCCTTGGCCTCCAAAGTGCTTGGATTACAGGCGTAATCCACGCCCGGCATGGCAATCCTCTTTTTTAAAAAAATATTTATATCCAAAGGTTCTTACCACACCATCACACCCCTAATCTTTTTGCTGTAACCTCCCAATCAGTTAGTTGTCTCCTTTAAAACATTTTTTCACACATACGCACGCACACACGAGAGACAGATAATATATAGCATTGTTTTTGGTGTATGAATGTGTGCTTCTGAATAAATGGCTTCATACTCTATAAAAAAAGAATGAGATTCAAATTTTACCGTCCATAAAGTTGTACCGGAACCAGCCACGCTGGATTGCTTGCGTATTGTTTATGGCCGCCTTTGCACTCCACAGTCACAATATCCACTCACGACCACTTATTGTTGTCTTTCAACAATGGCACATAAAATCCTAACGGTTCATCTCACACCTAATGAAACAGACTCTCACAGGCATAAACTTAGAAACCATCCCAAGAACATAAACAGGTCCATGCAGGGTCCCACACACCGAATCGGACTAACAAACTCCCTCACAGCAAGACACACCCGTCTGTTCAAAGGCCAGACACTGTTCCAGGCGCTCATACCCTGGTAAACTGGTGGTGTCGCTCAGTTCATTTCCAGGGACCCTACCCCGGACTCCCCTGCTTGCTCCCCAGACACCCCAGTCCCATCTCCGCCTGTTCTAGACTCCAGAATGCGTTCCTCAGCGAAGGCTGAGAACCTTTTAATTCGCTCTCAGTCAACACCAAAGACCCTCAAGCAAAGGCTAGAGCTCCCAGTCGTCTTCAGAAAATCGCTTTTCACAGAGGAAGCTGAGTTGCATGCTGGGAGCATCCCTGATCTCCCGTTTTCAACTTCCGGGGACTCGCCCGCTGTGGACTACATTTCCCAGAAGTCGCCGGGACACAGGCCTTTTAGGGGCGGGGCGAGCTTGCCTGCCAGAAGCACTCCCCGTGGCTCAGCTTCCAACCTGCGAGCATTTCCCGGCTCTCGTTTCCCATAAGCCTCTGGGTCCAAACTAACCACGGGGCTCCGGGTCCTTTTCCGGTGTTCTCAAGGTTCTTGGATTCTGTGTGGTAAGTTGGCCGAGTGCGTAGAAGTAATCAGTTCGGGTGAGACTGGGAGGGCTCGGCGGGCTTTACTGGGACCGGATTGGAAGCGGCAGTGAGGGTGGGGGAGGTATCGGGGGCGCTGGGTCAGGGGAGGGCCGAGTCTTCGAGCCTGTGTGCAACGCGAGGAGCCGAGAGATAGTGTGTCTCAGACGGCATGGCAGAGCCGGGGCGTGTCTCCGCGGAGGTGGGTGCAGTTGTGAATGTGTGGCGGGGTGATGGGGTGTGTGCCCGTATTTGTGTGATTTGCTTTGACCAAATGCTCTAGGTTCCCTTTAGCCTGTCTTTGGGCCTGCCACAGTTAAATGACCGCAAGAAAGAAGTCTATGCTAAGCCCCAGAATGAACGTTTCAAGCAAGAAGGATGAGAATTTTAGATCTGGAAGTGTCCTCGCGACAGGCTCTTGACTGGGGAAGTTCTAGAGGTAGGATTCCTATAAAGGCGCCTCTACGAGCTCTTTGGTGACGAGAGAAATGTTTCAGAGCCATTGCAACCAGACCGCTGTCCCAAAGAGTTGCCCTCAACACAGAGACAGACTCTAGCCTCCCTTTTCTTTCCGTTTGGTTATGTGTGGATGGAGGCAGAAGTGACCCTAGAGGACGTTTTGTCTTTTTAAATTAAGTCTGTGGTGTGCTAGAAATGCTGGTGTCTTATGTTACTGTTTTTCTGCAGTGCTGCAAGGTTGCCAGATTTCTAGATTTCTAAGGAGCTTGAAGAGGAGAAAAGGATTTTTGCATATTTAGAAATCAAGATTTGGGTGAGGTTTTTTATACGTACAGTTTTTATACATATGCATTCAATTACCTTTGCTTCTCGGTCATGAGAACTTTTTCTTTCCTTGGCCTGAAATATCTTGACTGGGTCTTCCCAGTCAAATGACAAAAATATCTTAACTGGGTCTTCCCAGTCAAATGACCCGCCATGCTGGTGCATACTTCTCCCAATTACTCCCTATTGTTCTTCTCAATTCTTACCCACCTGTTCATATGCCAGATTGTTCGAATTCTGCACTGCATTATGATGGTATAGAAAGGCACCTCTTGTAGATTGCTGTTAGAGCTTTATTTTGGACTGTAATTATTTGAAGACATTAGTAATTACGTGGTGTCATAGACAGGCTCTTTTTTCATCTTTTCTGTAGTCATTATTAAACATTTTTTATTTTTTTAGAGATAGGGTCTCACTCTATTGCCCAGGCTGAGTGCAGTAGTACAGTTATAGCTCACTACAACCTTGAACTCCTGAGCTCAAGTGTTCCTCTGGCCTTGGCCTCCCAAAGTGCTGGGATTGCAGTGTGAGCCACGACGCCTGGCGCATAGTCATGATTCTTAAAGCAAGGCAAGGTTTGAGGGATTTTAAGTAAGGGAACATTTCTGGCAGTATATGACAATGTTGTCTGCTTTGTGAGGCTTTTAGTGGTGGAAATATGATTGAGCTTTGAGCGTAGAGATTTGTGGTTTGCGCCAAGAGTGGGGACCTTCAGATAATCTTTGGGTAGAAGTCTGTAGCATTGCCAAGCAGGAATTGTTTCAAGTCCAGCTTTGTGTGGCACGTAAGAAGCTGTCTTGTGTTGTAGTTAAAATTAAGGCTCTGGATCTAAAGTATCTGAATTCAAATCCTGGCTCTGCCTGTTGGTAGCTAGCTGTGTGAACTTAGACAATTGATTCATGCCCTCTGTGATACATCTATAAACTAGGGACAGAATAGTAGCTACCTAATGGAGGTGTGATGAAGTAAGATGAGTTATTATGTATGAAGCTTTCTAGAGCAGTGCCGTCCCCATGATAGGGGCTTACTGAATATTGAGTTGCTGTTACTGAATATTGAGTTGCTGTTACTGGGCTTTTCTGGATTATTTCCCATCAACTTTTTATAGATTAGAGTAATAGAAGTGTGAAGTTGATTGTAATGGGTGCTTGCAAATTTTTTTTAAAAGTGACCAGATGCTCAAATGATCTCAGACAGGAAAACTTTTTTTTGAGGCAGGGTCTTGGTGTTTTGCCTAGGCTGGAGTGCAGTGGCATGATCATGGCTCACTGTAGCCTTGGCCTCCCAGGCTCAAGGTATCCTCCCGCCTCAGCCTCCTGAGTACCTGGGACTACAGGTACGTGCCATGAAGCCCAGCCAGTTTTTTTTGTGTTTTTCATAGAGATGGGGGTTTTGCTATGTTGCCCAGGCTGGTCTCGAACTCCTGGACTCAAGCAGTCTGCCTGCCTCAGGCTCCTGAAGTGCTGGGATTACAGGTGTGAGCCACTGTGCCCAGCCTTAGAACAGGAAATCTTAACTGAGGTCTTCTTGTTCCATTGACAAGCTTCCAGGTGACCAAAACCCCTTGAAATTGAGACCAAATTCTTGTAAATATATGTAAATGTGTTTTTTAACTGGGCAAAGTGTCTATAATTTCATGAGGTTATCAAAAATGACCATGACCCAAAAAGATCTCTCTCTGTTGTTCTGGGAAAAAGATTGTAATTTCAGGGAAGGAGCTTGAAAAAATTAGCGTCCAATAGAATGAAAATAGTCAAGTAAATTGCAGTATATCTAATGATGGAATGATATGCACCTAATAAAAATTAAGTTTATAAAGAATCGAAGGAGAAATATAAATGATGCAATTTTAAGGAATCATTATAGTTATGGATGAAAGTGCTCAAGAATATTTTGTTACATATCAATCCCATCTAATAAGACAGGGTTTGGAAGACATATTTTAAAGATTACATCTAAAATGTTACTTTAATTGGTCATTCAGTGAAGAAGTAGAGAGGCGCACCCACTTATTGAGCATCTACCCTGTACCAAATACCATTCTCTTTATGCACATTTATTTCCTTCCTCATCCTTTGAAGGTGGTTTATCTGATTTGTGTTGATTTACAGGAGAATTTTGACAGTGAACATGTCTCATTGCCGAGAGTAACAGCTACAGGATGTTCAAGAGCTGGTAGGTGTAAATTGTTTCAGGCCCACTGATTTTTAGTGTTGGCCCCATTTGTTCAGTTTTCTTAATGACTGAAATATATCACTCCTGTCACTCAGTTTTTTTATATTTGGAAATGTGTATATTTCCAATTATGGAATTAATGCAGGCTCGGTCAAAAAAACTCAGCAATCAGGAGACATACAGAGAAAAAAGCTGAAAATCACATCCTCTAGAGTTAATCATTCTTAATGTTTTGGTTTTTTTTTTTTTTTAATTTCTTTTTTGAGATACTGTCTCACTCTGTCACCCAGGTTGGAGTGCAGTGGTGTGATATTGGTTCACTGCAACCTCCACCTCCCAGGCTCAAGCGATCCTCCCACCTCAGAGGGAAGGTAGCTGGGACCATAGGTGTGTGCCTCCATGTCCGGCTAATTTTTTGTGTTTTTGATAGAGATGAGGTTTCACCATGTTTCCTAGGCTGGTCTTGAACTCCTGAGCTCAAGCAGTCTGACTCCTTTGGCCTCCCAAAGTGCTGGGATTACAGGTGTGAGCCACTCGGCACTTTGGAATATTCGTATTTAAATATTTTTTCCTTTGTGCCTATGGGTGTGGTTTTTTTTTCTGCAGAATAAAATTATTATAATGGGTAATGTAAATGAATTGAAGACTCTTTAGTTCTTAGTTTGAAAAAGAAATCCAATCCAGATCTAGCTTTTATGTTAATATTGAATATTTGGAGAGAAGAGGGAAGTGTTAGTGAGTCCCTTATTTGAAAACCTTCAACTATTGACATCTTCTGGGATTATAGAAATGTCATTTAAAAATGAATTAGCAGGCAAGAAAGAATTTTAGAATTAGATTAGAATTTTAAAGGTTACCTCTACAGACAATGGCAATAATCTCCAATATACAGCCATCTTACCAAAAATATATTTTACAGATAATATTTCCAAGGACAGGTATAAATGCCAGGAGGTAGAATAAGAAGGTTATGGTTGTAGATATTTAAGTAAACCACCAATTTGTGCAGAAGAACAAGATTGAGCCTCTGGTTAAGTTCTCAGCTTGACACCTAATCAGGTTGTATTTTCTGATGCAGCTTACTGATGCTGAATCTCTATGTATCTTCTGGGAGGAAGGGGTATTTGCCTCTATATGTTTCTGAGGACCTTTTTCCTCACATTGTTATTTAGGAAGAATGGCAGGCTCAAGGCTGGACTGTGAAATTTGAGTTAGCATTATAAGAAAGCATTTCTGAGAAGGGCATATTTTACCATAAGCAAAATAGAATAGCGTTAAGTTTCTTTGTTATAATGGGATAAGGGACAATAACTTTCTTCATTTTCAATAATAATGATGAAAAAGTGGCTAAGTCTGGTGGCTCGCACCTATAATCCCAGCACTTTGGGAGGCCAAGGCAGGAAGAAATCTTGAGCTCAGGAGTTCAAGACCAGCCTGGACAGCACAGTGAGACCTTTTCTCTACAAACAGTTTTTTAAAACAATAATTAGCAGGGCAAGGTGTCTTGCACCTTTGCTTCCAGGTACTGGGCAGGGAGGCTCAGGTGGGAGGATCACTTGAGCCCAGGAGGTTGGGGTTGCAGTGAGCTGTGTTTGTGCCACTGCACTCCAGCTTAGGCAACAGAGTGAGACCCTGTCTCTGGAAAAAAAATACAACTTATAAACAATTATCATATACCATTCACTATTTTGTATGGATTTCTTATTCTTCTGGGGTAGACATTGTTCTCACCCTTCTTATTGATGAGGAAACAGAAGTGTTGAGAAATTAGTAACTATAAAGCTCAAATTCACATCCTAAAGGTCTGACACCAGAACTTTTATCTTAATTTCAACAGAATATAACTCACACATTATGTTAGTTACAAACCTGCCTGCCTAAGGAATTGATCATGCATGTCTTTCTTCATCAATTAATATGAACCAGCACCGTCATAACTAATGAGGGTATGGCAGGCTGTAATTTATTCAACCTTTTGCTTACTATTATGTAGTTTCTCATTTTTAGTTATCAGAAATTATTTTTGGTTAAATATCCTTGTGTATTTATCTTGTGTGCTTCTTTCTTCTTTAGCTATTTCTTTTTTTTTTTTTAATTTTCTTTCTCTCTTTTTTTTTTTTTTCCGAGATGGAGTTTTGCTCTTGTTGCCCAGGCTGGAGTGCGATGGCATGGTCTCAGCTCACCGCAACCTCCACCTCCAGGTTCAAGTGATTCTCCTGCCTCAGCCTCTCGAGTAGCTGGAATTACAGGCATGCACCACTACACCCAGCTAATTTGTATTTTTAATAGAGATGGGGTTTCTCCATGTTGGTAAGGCTGGCTCGAACTCCCGACCTAAGGTGATCTGCCCTCCTCAGCCTACCAAAGTGTTGGGATTACAGGTGTGAGCCACCTCGCCTGGCCCTTCTTTAGCTATTTCTTAAGAATACATTTCTGGAAGTGAAGTTTTGGGTAAAGAATTTGCCCCAAATCCCAGACCCTGTGATACTTGTAGTTAGGGGGTAATACAGTGTTTAGAAGACATAATTGTTACCTTGAAGACAAAGTATGCTTAGGGATAAGGCAGCCAGCAGCCAGCAACAAAGGCCAGTAGGCAGTCTAGGGGACCTTCTTTAAGGAACTCATAGGAAGGTAGTTAAAAGCAATGCTATTGAATCATGATCAAGTGTTTGGAGGCAAATGGAATTTATTCTGTAAGGTTTATACCTTATAGTTTTTATTTTATTTTATTTTATTTTATTCTTATTACCTTATAGTTTTTATTCTACTAATGTTAGTTGCAAAGTGAGCCTAACAGGATCAGGTGATTCGGCAGTTATCTGGAGGGTACCATGTCTAAGACAGGTTCAGATACAAAGTAAATCCATCAGTCAAGATAAGAAAAGCAAGATCAAAACCTCATTAATGGAGGGGGAGCAAAAAAATAATAAAACCCCCAAAAAATAAAAATTAAAAAAAGGGCGAAATTCCCCAAGTTATGCCATGGATATATTAATATTATTCCATTAATATTATTAATATTTCATTAATATATCCATGGCATAACTTGGGGAATTTCATTCATTTTTTTTTTCTAGGCAAGACATAGGCATATGTAGAAATTATAGAGTTTGTGTAATATATGGCCATGGCTACAATTATTATGTGGATTACCTTAATGAAAAACATGATCATAATGAAAATTTGAATGTTGTTAATATATATGGATATATAACCTTATTTTTTATTTTTTTGTTTCTTTCTTGAGATATATAACTTTCTAAACATTTCTTCATCTATTGATGTCCAATTGTCAGTCTTTTTGTATTGATATATATGTATTTTATAAATGTAATCATACCATAAATCTCATAACCTACTTTTTCTATTGAGTATATCTTGATTATTTCCCTAAGTCAGCATGTACTCACTGCATGATATTTCATGTCATGAATATTCTGATAGATGCATTAGATAGTCAGCTTTTTGGGTTCCCAATGAATTCCTTATACATCCTGTCCAGCTCCCATGTCTTGACCAACTTCCTTCAGTCCTGAACCCGTGAAGGACATTGTAGTTTGGATCATGACAGGTATTCCTGAGAGATAGGAATGGAAGGAGGATGATCTGATCTCCTGGGCAGGACTGAATCACTGAATCCCAGGTCCAGATTCACAACCTCAGAACCAGACACTACCAGAAATCTCCCTGCTAAAGAACTTTGGGGTTTAGGGTGAAAGTTTGGATTCCATAAATGGCATGTAGGGTGTATAGTAGAAACAGGCATGGAGAAGATCTTCTATTAGTGTAAGTTAGGGTGGCATCACTGAGGCACATCTGGCTTAATACTTCGTTTTCCCTCCCCAGTTCTGGCTTTTCTGGACTCTGTGCTTCACCAATAGAGGAATCCCATGGAGCATTAATTAATTGTTGGAATTCCAGAACCATGACTGATGTAAGTTGGTATTTTTCTCTCCATGAAATACTGTGATTTTTAGGACGTGTGAATCTTTTCCTTAATTTTCCTAAAGCCTTCTCTCTGACAGAACTCCATCCCTGAACCTGCTCAGTTTTGCCAAATAGCCTAGTGTCCTCCCCTGGTGCCCCTCCCCTTTCGAATCAATGTCATATTCATTGAACATATTATTCAACATCTTCTGTGTTCCCAGTCTTCTAGTGAGAGCAGTGATAGAGCAGTGGAGTCTTTTGAGGGGAATATTTAAGCTTCTGTTAAGGATAACTCAAAGAAATATAGTTAACCACACACTTACTTACGTACAAGGAAAACCCATAGTGCATTGATTTCCTCTATCAAAGGTACCAACAGAATTCATATAAAGGGAAGAGAATGAAAGACTGCAAAGATTTTGAAAACTGCAGTATTTTTAAATTTAGGTTAAAATGCTGATTTTAGAGGGTGGCTACCAAAGAAGCCAGTCAAGACACTCTGCCCTTAGTTGGATGGTCACCCAGAAGAACGATGTTGGTTGATTGTGCATTCTCCGGGAGCACTTTCATGTTTAACCGTCTTGGCTGTCTTGGGTGATGCCTTTTGGTATCACCTCGTTTGGCCACATCTGCACCATTTCCGTCACCTGAGTTTCTCATTCCTGTGTCAGGTCTGTAGTGTGTTTAGGTAGTGATAAGGATCCCGTTGCACCACATGCAAAAACTTGGAACTTCTCTGTAGACCCAAGTTTTCCACAGAGGTAAGATGGACTTTGGGGTTGCTTGGTCTCAACCATAGTTATATAAGGTTGCATTTGTTGGGAGGCTCTTGAGATTAGAGAGAGGGGAGTGAGTGGTTCTTCCCAGAAATTACCTAAGAGATGAAGACCAGTAGTCTTTGGAGTCACCAAAGGACTCTACCACCAGTGGATTTGAAGTCATTTTGTCATCAACCAGGACGTGTCGGTCATGAGTGACTGTGTCACATGCAACATCCTATATCAGTACTCTCTAACTCAGGAACAAGGAAAGTATTAAGCGAGGGGTAGTTGACAGTAACAGGTAAGAGGATGCCTAAGGTCTAGATGATAATAAATTTCCACAGTTAAGAAAATCTACAGAAGTTTTGTTCAGCCTAAATGTATAGATATAATTGAGTGATTAATCTCATATATCCAGAGGATAAAATGAATTGCAGCAAGTAAAAAATATTGTTTAAATTCATCATAAGAAAAAAATGCTTATGATCTTATCTATCAGTGATGTATTTGAGTCTTGGTGATAGTCCCTAATTTAATGGGAATCATTTTTATAAAATAAAGATTTATCGTACAAAAACTTTTCATGTTTCCCCTATTTATTTATTTTTGGAGACAGAGTCTTGCTCTGTTACCCAGGCTGGACTGTAACTTCCACCTCCCGGGTTCAAATTATTCTCTGCCTCAGCCTCCCAAGTAGCTGGGATCACAGGCATCTGCCACTACACCTGGCTAATTTTTGTGTTGTTAGTAGAGATGGGATTCCACCATTTTGGCCAGGCTGGTCTCATACTCCTGACCTCAAGTGATTCACCTGCCTCAGCCTCCCAAAATGCTTAGGATTACAGGTATAAACCATGGTACCTGGCCTTGTTTTCTTATTAAAGGGGAAAGATGGTGAGCAATTCACTTTCACAAAGAATTTTTGAGGAAGGCACATAGCACTTTGTAAATACACATGATGTACACACACATACACACACACACACACACACACACACAGACTTTTAACAGAAGAAACTGGGATTTTTTTTAATATATTACCAGACAGGTCTGGATAGCTGAGTTATCTTACAGTATCTGGGAGGTTTTTCTGCTACAACAAGATTCTTCTAAAACACGTTGGCATTCTGCTGTAGTCACACTGATTTTCTTGCCTTTTCCTACTTAAATCAGAGGCTTTCAGCGTATTTGATTTTGTTTCTCCCCTTCTTTGTAGTTTATCCTTCATACCTTCTTTTTTCCTCTTGGTAATGTTTTCTTTAATTTCACAAGTAATACATGGGTTTTTGGTTTTAGGGGTTGGTGACATTCAGGGATGTGGCCATCGACTTCTCTCAGGAGGAGTGGGAATGCCTGGACCCTGCTCAGAGGGACTTGTACGTGGATGTGATGTTGGAGAACTATAGTAATTTGGTGTCACTGGGTAAGGTCATCTGCCTGAAATAATTTAGAATCTCCTCTTTGCAACATCAGTTTTTCTGCACTGGAAAGTACAGGGCTATCTTTAAAGAAACCAGGTGAATTTCTTTTTCCACTTCCCAACGGCATGTTTTTATACTTGCTGCATTAGAAATGGGTTCATTAAGCACATTGCTCTTCCCCATTCCTCAGTGAGCTTTATGCCATTGCAGGGCCCTCCCTGCAATCACCTCTCTCCTTTAATGGCCAAGGGGCTGGATTTGCATTATAGGGCGTTTATTTCATAACCATTGTCAAAGAAACCAGATTTTATAAATTCTGCAAATACTACAGTGAATGTCTACTCCTGGCCAGCGTTGTGCTGAGCACTATCAGTTGAATCATGAACAAGATTTGATAACTTGCACATTTTCAGCAATTTACTTTGTAGTAAAGGTGAAACATCAAATGATTAAATCAATAAATAGATAAATAGTACATAATGAACTAAATTCTTGGGAAAAAATAAACACCATAAGGGAATAGAAATGATGGGGACTGACAGGACTAGTTTAGATAAGATGGTCAGGGGATGCTTTCTTGAATAGAGATGCGGAGCCTGGGATCAATCTATGTAATATCTGGGGGAGGAACAGATCAATCACAGTGAACAGCAAATGCAAAGGCCCCGTTGTTGGAAAGGAACTTTACTGGAACTTTATCAGAACTCTAGGGTAGAGTTATTAAAGGAACATGTGCTGAGAAATTAGGCCAGGGAGATAGGAAGGGGCCAGATAATATATTGTTTTGTTGTTCTTATGTGTGGAATTTGGATTGTTTAGTCTCTTTCAGTCTGAAACAGTTCACGTCTTTCCTTGACTTGCATATATGTCTGTGATGCTTTTGAAGATTACAGGCCAGTTATTTTGTACAGTGTTCCTCAATTTGGATTTGTCTGCTCTTTCTTCATGATTAGATTTAGAGTATGGATCTTTGGCAGGATTATCACAGAATGGAGCTGCATTCTTCTCCTTGCATTTTGTTGGGTAGTGTGAATGATTTGTAATTACTCATGTTACTCTCTCTGAGTACTTGATTAAAGTGGTGTCTGCTGGCTTCCTCCTTGTGCAGTTACTCTTTTATCCTTCAATAAGTATTTTGTGGGTAGAAACTTTGAAAGTATTAAATATTGTGGAACTGGGCACAGTGGTGGCTCACACCTGTAATCCCAGCGCTTTGGGAGGCTGAGGCGGGTGGATCACTTGAGGCCAGGAGTTCGAGACCAGCATGGGCAACATAGCAAAACCTCATCTCTACAAAAAAAAATACAAAAAAATTAGCTGGGCGTGGTGGTGCGTGCCTGTAGTTCTGGCAACTCAGGAGGCTGAGCTGGGTGGATTGCTTGAGCCTGAGAGGTTGAGGCTGCTGTGAGCTGAGATTGTGCCACAGCACTCCAGCCTGGGCGACAGAGCAATACCCTGTCTAAATAAATAAATAAATATTGTGTTTACCTCTCAAACTTCTCATTTGTTCATATGTTGGATTTCTAGTCAATGGGCTGTATTCTGTTTTTTCTGTTATTTATTTTGAAACTCAAAGTGTTGGAGCTCATCCCAGATTTGGTCAGTGGGAATCCTTTCATGATAGTTTCTATGGCTTTTTGGCACATCTCCATCACTCTTTGAGTACCTCCTGATTTTCTGATAAACAAGGTGTTACAGGTTCATCTATGAAATTTTCCTGCTCTAGTTTTACAGTCAGCTATAGCTTTGAAGTGCCTGGTTATTTTAACACAGATTTATAGTTATTATTTTATGCATTTGTCTTTTAAATCAACAAACCAAAAGTACAGTAATGCTGACTTTTATATTTATATTCATGTAGTTACCTTTACCAATGTTCTTTATTTCTTCTTCTGGCTTTCAGTTACTTTTTAGTGTCCTTTCACTTTAGGCTGAAACAGTCCCTCGAACATTTCTTCTAAAGTAGGTCTACTGGTAATCATCTCCTTCAGCTTTTTTTTTTTCTGGAAATTTCTTAATTTCACCTTTATTCTTAAAGGACAGTTTTTGCAAGTATAGAATTCTTGGTTGACATTTTTTGGGGGTGGTACTTTTCAATATACCATCCTACTACTTTCTTTCTGTTCTTTATGGTTTCTGATGAAAAATTAGCTGTTAATCTTGTTAAGAATTCTTTTATGTGGTAGGCTCCTGCTATCTTCCTGTGTTCTGGTTTTTTTGTCTTTGGGTTTCCATAATTTGACTCTAATATATCTAGATATGAATCTGTTTGGGTTTTTACTCTCTGAAGTTGTTGAGCCTCCTGGATGTGAGTATATTCCTGTCTTTTGTCAGATTTTCAAAGTTTTCAGACATTCTGTCTTCAAATTTTTTTTCTACACTTTTATTTCTCTTGTTTTTCTGTGATTCTTATGATGTGTATGTTGGTGTGCTTGATGGTATCCCATCGATCCCTCAGGGTCTCTTCATTGTTCATGATTCCTTTTTCTTGTTGCTCCTCTAGTGCAATAATTTCTTTCTTTCTTTTTTTTTTTTTTTTTTTTGAGACAGTTTCGCTCTTGTTACCCAGGCTGGAGTGCAATGGCACGATCTAGATTCACTGCAACCTCCGCCTCCTGGGTTCAGGCAATTCTCCTGCCTCAGCCTCCTGAGTAGCTGGGATTACAGGCACGCGCCACCATGCCCAGCTAATTTTTTGTATTTTTAGTAGAGACGGGGTTTCACCATGTTGAACAGGATGGTCTCAATCTCTTGACCTCATCATCCACCCATCTTGGCCTCCCAAAGTGCTGGGATTACAGGCGTGAGCCACCGCACCCGGCCTAGTGCAATAATTTCAAACAACTCATTTTCAAGTTCACTGAGTCTTTCTTCTGCTGAATCCACTATTGAAATTTTCATTTCAGTTACTTTACTCCAGAATTTCTGTTTGGTTCCTTTTTTATAATTTCTATCGTTTTATGGATATTTTCATTTTGTTCGTACATTATTTTCCTGATTTCCTTTAGCTCTTGGTCCATGGTTTCCTTTAGCTCATTGAGAATATTTGGATAGTTCACTTAATGTCTGGGCTTCTCAGGAATGGTTTCTGTCAGATTATTTTTTTCTTGTGAATGGGCCCCCTATTTTCCTGTTTCATTGTATGCTTTGTAATTTTTTGTTAAAACTGGACATTTTGAGTATTATAACATGATACCTCTGGAGATTCAGTTTTTCCATTTCTCAGGCATGGCTGATTTCTGCTGGTTGAGGGCTAGAGCTGTCAGACTTTTTCCAACTCTTTTTGTAAATTGTATATTCCTTATTGTATGTGGTCACTGAAGTTTCTCTTTCATCATCTCTGCAGTCAGTTAGTACTAGACAAAGATTGACTTAAATATCTGGCTGTAAAAAAGGGAAGAAAAAAGGTCTATTGGCACTTTAAATCTTGCAATAAATGTTTCTGGGGAAAGCTGCTGTGGCCGATGGGGCTAAAATCAAGGCAGTCATCTGTGCTGGTCCCTCAAAGAAACACAAAACCCACCAAAGTGTACAACTGTGAATTTTTTGGAAGACAAGGTCACACTGCCAACCCATGTCCCAGCCAGCTGTTCCCCTAATACAGGCTGCTCTCCTAATACAGGCTGCTCTCCCCACAGCTGTGGTGGGGCTGAGGAGTGAGGGATGTGATTAGTTGGTACACAACATTCCAGGAACATAGGCCTCTCATCCCATAGCATTGACTGGACTGAGAAATGGGGGATGGTGGCTTGCTTGCACAAGCCACTTGCTCACCTAAGAATAGTAGCCTCTTTATTCATCCAGCACTCCCCTGGTTGTTATGGAAGTGTCTGATCAGGTTCCAGAGTTAAGAGTTTGTTGATGCCAATCTCTCTTTCCAGTTCAATGTCGCTTTAGTGGAGCTACCAGCCCTTAGAGCTTCTTACTTCACCATTTTGTGTGACATCAGTCCTACATATTAATTTAATGTAATTATTGATATGGTTGGGTTTCAGTTTACCATCTTGCTATTTTTCGTTTCACTAGTTCTTTCTTTTGTTGCTACCTGCTTGGACTAATCAAGTATTTTTTAGTATTCCATTTTATCTCATCTGTTATCTTTTGCTGTCTTATTTGTATTTATTTTGGGGATTGCAATATGCATCCTTAATTTAGCACAGTCTCTTGAAATTAATAACATACTACCTTGTGGTAGAATTTAAGAATTTTACTAATCTGTAAGCTTCATTCAGCCTGAAAAACTTCCTTTAGCATTTCTTGTGTCATATGGCTACTAGCAGCTAATTCTCTCTTTTTTTTTTTGAGACAGTCTCACTGTGTCACCCAGGCTGGAGTAAAGTGGTGTGATTTTGGCTCACTGCAGCCCCTGCCTCCCAGGTTCAAGCAATTCTTGTGCCTCAGCCTCCTGGGTAGCTGGGATTACAGTCATGTGCCACCACACCTGGCTAATTTTTATATTTTTAGTAGAGATGGGCTTTTGCCATGCTGGTCAGGCTGGTCTTGAACTCCTGACCTCAGGTGGTCCACCCTCCTCAGCCTCCCAAAGTGCTGGGATTACAGGCATGAGCCACCATGCCTGGCCTTCATCTTTCTTGTTTTTGAAAGATATTTTTTTACCAGATGTGGATTTCCCAATTTATATATGTTTTTCTTTTAGTTAGCTTAAAAAATGTTCCATTAGCTTCTGAACTCTATTGTGTATGATTGGACAGCTATGATTCTTATTGCTCATTTTATATATGCTTTATTCTCTGTTATTCAGTTTTTTCTTTATTTTTGATCTGTAACAGTCTGACTATAAAGTTCTGGATATGGTTTCCTTACATTTATCATGGCTTTGATCCCTTTTCTTTTACCCTTACCTTTAATCAGTGGGCTTATTTTTATTTTATTTTATTATTATTATTATTTGAGATGGTGTCTCACTCTGTAGCCCAGGCTGGAGTGCAGTGGCATGATCCTGGCTTATTGCAACCTCTGCCTCCTGGGTCCTGGTTCAAGC